TCACCCCGGCCTGATGGCCACCGCCTCCCACAGCCTGCAAACCAGCGCCGTCGCCAAACTCCGCAGCCTCGCCCCTCACCCGGCTCTGCGACCTCGGGCCTCCGCGCACACCCCGCCCTCATCCCGGCATGCACCTGCAGGGGCTCGGATGCCGCTTTCTCCCGAACGCTCCCTCCTCACTGGAAGCCCTCGTTACCACCCCTCGGCTCTCTGCTCTTCCTGCAAGAACTCGTGAAAACTAGGCATTGTGGTTTCGTGCGAATTCTTCTCAACGTCTGTTTCTCCCGAATCTGAGGGCAAGCTCCGTGAGCACAGAAACTCCACCTGCCGCGTTCGCCAGCGTCCCTCGGTGCCTGGAACCGTGCCTGGTACACGGTGCGCGCCCGGGGAGGGCACGTGTCTCCCATCCTCCCCGGCGTGTCCCACGTCACCTCGCCCCTACTTAAGATCCAAGGGACGGCCTGAGAACTGAATGACTCATCAAACAGGAATAAGTGGAGCCCCGGGAAGAGTATGACAGGGCGTGACAAAAACACACCCACGTGAGCTCTAAGGCCTTGTGGATGCATTGAATCACCCCCGCTTGGGTCGGGGGGCTCTGGGGTGAACCCACACGTCCCCTGTCCTCTACGGGCAGGTGCTCAGGCCGTCCTAGGCTTATTTGACAGGGCACCACCCCCATCATCTCTCCCCCTGCAGTGGCAGGGCCTCCTGGTGACCCCCAAGGGCAGGGCCCCTCCACAGCTGACGAGAGGCTTTGGCACATTCGGCCCCTTCCCCGCCAGCCCAGGAGGGAAGAACAAAGCACTTCCCAGTTCAAGGACGAGGAGAGAGGCTCAGAGAGCACCTCCCTCACCTGTCCTGGTGAGCTCCTCAGACAGCGCTCAGCGCGGGCCCCCAAACCCCAAAGGCTGCTGTCCTGTTGCTCCAGCAGCCCCAAAGAGGACTCAGGGGGACGTGGCCTCCCGACCTCGCTCCCCCAGCCCTGGTGACAGAGTTGCAAAAACTTGTTGATGCGGCTTAGTACATGGAACAAAGGTCCCCTCTCCCTGCCCCAGACAGTCCTATCAGACAAACAGAAGGCAAAGGCTCCGTGCTCGCCCGCCCACCTCTCCGCTGCAGCTTCCAGGAGTCTCGGGCCTACGGCCACCGGGTCCTGTCCTGAGAGGCGCCTTTGTCCCTCTGGCTGGGCAGAGGGCATGGGAGGAAAGGGCCCGGAGTGCTCTCTGCCACCCAGGCTGGCAGGCATAAAAGCAAGGGGCACTGGGTCCTGTCTGAGAGGGACACGCCTCAGGGCGGAGGGCTGGGGGGGGTGACCACACGCGGGAGGGTGGACACAGGGCTCTTTGTGAATGGACAGAGCAGAAAAAGGGAAGGGAGTGGCAGGGAGATGGCAGAGACACCAAGGGCAGCTGATGCCCTGCTGAGCAGCCCACAGGAATTCCTGTCCCAGTTTCCGGGAACGTTCCGGAACATGTCCTAAGAAAGCTCTAAGAACAACTATTTTCCCAGGCGAGGGAAACTGGATCCCCACGCAGGCGCTGGGCGAAGGGATAGGGCAAAAATAAACAGGAAAAACATATCAACGCAGGAGATGAGAAAAACAGGCAGAGGCCCAGTCTCAGTGGAGATGGGAGAGAGACTATCACTTGCACATCAACAGGGGCCAAATTCCAGGGCCCCCTCCCTAGGGAGACAGAGGCTGGGCGTGGGCTCCCAATAGAGGCCCAAAGGCTGGGTGACAGGAAGGAACACAATGAAATAGGGGGTGGGGGTGGCTCCGTCAGAACGAAGGAAGCCACCGAAAGGGGGCCAGAGGCACCTCACAGCACCTCCCTTCCTCGACAACGGACTGCCAGTTCCCGGACAGGCGACGCGGGGACAAGCGGGGGGCTGCGGACAGGCGAGAAGGCTGCACAAGGCTGGTTACGGGATGACAGCTGCTCTGACGGGGGTTCGGCTGGGGAAGCCAGCTCCCAGGTGCAAAGCCCAAACCCAGCCCAAGGCAGGCACTGTGCCTACGGTGCCCAGGCCACCAGACGTGGCGTGACCCCCTCGGCCGGGCAAACGAGGCGATCAGAGCAGGGACGAGAGGGGAACATGATTTTTCCTTCACTCTGCACATCGGCCACCCACACACGCCCCCTCACTCACGCACACGCATAACCCGAGGCCCAGGCCCAGGCCACACGCTCATTCCACACCCTCCGGGACCTGGCAGGTCGGGGCCTCACCTAGGCTGTTCCCGCCGCAAGCCTGCAGGATCCGCCGGGCTCGCTCCTTAGCATCTTCTGGGAAGCTGGGGCTACCCAACAGGTTCGGGTAGGTGCACAGAGCTATCACCTGGGGGGACAGAGGTGCAGGCTGGGCTCCCGGGACGGGCATGAAGGACCCTGGGCAGGAGACGGCGTGACAATTCCTCTGAGGGCCGGCAGGCCAATCCACTCAGGCTCGGGCCCGGGAGAGCTTGGGGGTGGGCGGGGGGACACTGAGCTGTCTGCAGCAGACTGGGACGTGATGAGAGGCATGGTGCCTAGTGAGTGACCTGGGCTTGGGGCCCGAGGATGGGGACCACGAGAGGAGCTGGGGAACAGAAGGAGGCTGCTACTCAGCCCCGGGCCCCAAGTCTTCCATAAAAGACAGCGGCTGACACCCCCGAGGCCACAAGAGCCAGGGGTCTCCTGAGCGGGGGGCTGGGACCGAGCAGGCAGGTGCACCCTGGCTGGCTGGACAGCGGACCCCCTCCCGACTCACAGCCATGGTCCACCTTCCTCCACGGCCCCTCTCTCCTCCCTCACCATCGCCCCCTCTCCTGGCCAGAAGTGCAGATGGGGTCAGCTTTCTCACCTCTGTGGCAGAAAGGCATCCACATCTCACAAATTAAGAGGATTAAGCAAGGAGATGCTTGCAGAAGTTCTGGGAAACCCCAGCTCACGGGCAGGTCTAAGCTGGCAGCTCAGGAGCTGTGCCAGGGGGCTGGGGCTCACGGCTCTGTCACCAGCTGGGTGACCTCAGGTGAGTGCCAGCTTCTCGGAGCCCGGCTTTTCTTCCTTTATACAATGGCCAGTGACTCAGCCTGCCCTCCCCCCAGGGACACCTATGGAAGCTAGAGGTGGCTAGTACCAGGTGGGAGAGGCTGGGCCTGCCAGGGCTGGTGGCAGGGCTGGATTGGGGCATGTGCCCACCGGCCAGAAAAGGTTGAGGCGACAGGGGCCTATTCACACCCGGGGCCCCAGCGTGTGTGGGGAATTTCTGAGAAAGGCACTTTGGGCCTCATCCCTTCAAAGCTGTGTGCTTCCGGGACATCCGGGGCCCCTGAGCCCCTGCCACCCCCACCTCCCTGGCAGAGCCATGCTGCTCGGCCTGAGATACTTCCCATCCCGGGCCTAGCTCGGGGCCTCTGAAGTTCACCGGCAGCTGGCAGGCCCCTGAGGTCGGCAGCAGTGGCCACGGGAAGGAGACACAGTGCCAGCCTTGGTTCTCCCCCTGCCCCCACCCTGTGTGAACTCCCCGAGGGGCTGCAGGCTGAGGCCCCCAGCCCCATGCCCCTCACCCAGGGCAGAGCAGGTAGAAGGATCTCAGGTGTTCAGCTGCCCTGCCTGCCCCAACCTGCAAACCTTAACCACATACAAGGACCATATTTTGCTTCAAAAGAGACCCCATTGCTGTGAGAAAAAGCTTTCGCCACGCTGGTGTCCGGCCCTGTGGCATTGTCTCCCTCCTGCCCAACACTCCCACAGTTTGAGCTCAGGCAGCATCTCTGCGGTCGATGCTCAAGCTGAAACATTGACACCTGCCTTCTGGAAACCTCGGGAGTGAGCTGGGTTGCATCGGCAAGGCGGCCAGGAGGCAGCAGCTGCCGAGTCGCCAACCCCACGCTCTCCTGCAGGGCTGGGGGTGAGGCCGCCCACTCATCATCTCCTCAGGGCCACCAGGGGTCCTCCATGGCCGTGCTGCACGCACTGGCAAGTGGCAGAGGCACCACTCAAATCCAGGTGTCTCACTTGGGGAGCCGGATCCGGACCCCACACACTGCCTCCCAGCCCACCGAGCCTCTGCCTCTGCCACCCACCTCTCCAGGGCCCTCACTGACCAAGCTCCAGGGACGAGCCTCGGACACTACAGCAACCCCAAAATGGGTTTAAGAATCTCAGACAGCTTTGGAAGAGGAGGAAGCTGAGGGCGAGAACCAGGGCCGACAGGCACTGGCGGGCGCTGCTACTTCATGGGCAGCTCCCTGTGGGACTCCGGTGGCTGCTGTGTCCTGGACAGGTAGGAGGCGGAGGTGAGAGGAGCCTCCGTTCCCTGCTCTCCCAACGGCCTCTGCTCCCAACGGCCAGCTCACCTGTCGGAGGAAGGTGATGGGTTGCTGCCCCATGGCCTGGGCGTCCCCGATGTTGGCACGGATGACCTCGGTGAATGGCTTTTTGATACCCTGAGCAGAGAGGAGGCAACAGGTGGTTACTCAAGACACCTTCAGAGCCAGAAACAGGAAGCCGAGCAGTGAACCCTGAAGGGATTACGAAGCAGCCCTATTTTGGGCCTTACCAGGTGCCCCACAATGACTGCCTCAGAGAGATGTCCAAAAGAGGGTCTTGGGACAAATGTGGTGTTTGGGGGGCGGGGTCAGCAGCAGCAGATGACGACAGTCAGCGAGAAGCTCCCTCGACCCCCGGCTCCCCGTCCCCAAGGGCAGCTCCACCTCTACAGACCTAGATAAATGGCCAGGGGCACTGCGGACACCCCTCCCAGAAGACACCCATCAGCAAGGACCTGTCACGGTCACTCCCTGGCAACCTTGGCTTCGCAGAATGAAGAATGTGAGCTGATTGTCACATTAAAAAAAAAAAAAAGCATCAGGGAAGAAAAGACTGACAGACTAAAGAACAAATGTGAAGCCACTGCCCAAGCACAGGGAAGATCCCAGAGAGCAGAGGGACCCAGAGACCCCGGTGACATCGCTGGGGAGGTGACGAGGACACCCCGGCTGTTGCAGAGGAGAAAACGTGGTTTGCACGGAGGACTGTGGGAGTGTGGAAATGTGGGAATGCCACCCGGCTCCCTGATAAATCCAAAATTAGCCACTGGAAGAGTCAGAAGCCACAGCAGGCTCAGGACCTCCCCGGGCGGCTGAAAGGGTTACGTGAGACAAACAGTACGTAAGCGCTTGGGCTCGATCAAGTACAAACATCCTCGTCTTACAAAGCTGGACCAGGGACGAGGTCACGAGGGTCACGGTGGAGGGAGGAGGCGGGGCGCGGTGGCCTGGCAAGGCGGGGGCAGTGCCAAGGGGAGGCCTGGGTAAAAGCCGGGCCACCTTCCCAATCCCCACTACCCTATCCCCGTGACGCCCTAAATACAGATTTAAAGACACAACCTGTCGTTTTAACACTGCACCTGTCCTCCATCTCACACGAGGTGTGAATAAGAGCGACTTTGGAAAACTCAGAAAACCCCTTTTTAATCCGTAATGCACACACGCCTTACACAAAAACCAGCCACTCGACGGGTTCTCCTGGCCCTTCCTTGTTTGCCACCCCTAAGCCCCTCCCCCGCAGAAGTTCTCTAGCTCTTTCCGGAACGAGGAGACATGGGGGGCTGAGGAGGGTGCCCCAGAAATAGCCCGGGATCTTCACAAACGGGGCCTGATAAATCTCCCCACACTATGTTGCTGGCGGGGGGGAAGAGGCCCTCTGATTCCCCCGTGCCCTTCTGCCCAGTTCTTCAGTATGGAAAGATGTCCCAGGGGGCACAGAGAAGGTGCCAAGAGGTCCTGAGGATGAAGACAGGGGAGGGGCGGTGCTGGACCCGGGCCATGGGGAGAGGAGGCAACCCAGACACCTGGCCTCTGGGCTAGCCCCACCGGCGGGAGCCAAGAAGGCTGGTGGTAGAGTGACCCAGGCCACTGTGTGTGGAGGGGCGGGCCTGACACACGCTCGTCAGCCTGGCTGAATCGCCACGGCCCGAGACCTGGCCACCTGGCCAGGCAGGTGACTTCCCCGGTGTGGACACGGGCCATTCTTCGGTAGGGAGTAAATCTGTTCACAGCCGAGGGCCAGGAGCCAAAGTACAGCTGCGGGCCCCCGGCTGACCCAACGCAGGTGGAGAATGCTGAGACAGGACCCGGGGGGTTCCAGGCCCTCCCCGCACACTGCTCAGTCAACTCAGGGCCTGTGACAAGGAGCCAGGAACACCGAGCTCCTTTCTTGGGTCTGGTGCCCGCAGACCCCAGACGCTTGGCCATGATGGATGAGCTGGGGGCGGGCGGGAAGTGGGCTCCCTCGAATGACAGGGGCCAGCCTGTCCAGCCAAGGACCGCCACACAGAGGAGCCCACTCTGGGCACTGAGGTCTGCCAGGGAGCCCACAGCCACTCGTCCGGGCCCGGCAGGCACAGCTACTGGTGACCTCGCCTCGGCCTTGCCCCCAGGAGCCTGCAAGTTGGCACATAGCATCCCAGTTCCTCTCGGGGTCCCAGCACCCACGTGTCTAATCCACTTGCACACGTCCCACCCAGAGCTGCCTCCCTGTGGGGCACTGAGGTGAGTTCTGACCCGGGGGGCTCCAGCCCATGAAGGGGTCAGAGGAACAGCCCCCAGACTCCGGAGGTGGCAGGTTTGATAAAGTTATTAGTGGGGAAGAGGAAAAAGTCACAGGCCCAGCGCCACATGGAAAGTCAAGGGGATGATGGATGATTTTAACAGGAACGTGGCATTTCCTAGAGCAAGGGAAGGCTCTTGTCATTTCATGTGACATGTGGGTGGGAAGCCTTACTAAGAAGGTTCCTCCCCAGAAAGCCTCCCTCTCATTCGACAAATACTTATGATCGCCCATGCCCCGTGATGAGTAAGCGTGACGGGAGAGGCCACCGCCGTCAGAGCCCAGGCTAGTAAGGATCAGAAGCCGGCAGGGGAAGGGAGAGAGGGTATGGCCGGTCCCAGGCCTGGGACGCCAGGAGAAAAGACCGAGGTGATGGCGGGAAGCCGGGGGCAGGCAGGAAGCACTGGAAAGCTCCACGAGGAGGCCCCAGCGCCAAACCCCAACTAGTCCCCACGGTCCCTGAAAACAGGTATATTTCACAGCTGAGGCACCAAGTCTTGGCCCTGGGTCCACCCCTGACCATTATGGAAAGACAAGCAAAGCTGGAGGACTCTGTGCTGAAGCCACACCCACCCATGACCAGGAGGGAGCTCCAGGGGAGGGGTCCCCCGCGCAGCAGAGCAGGGAAAGCTGGCTGCAGGCGCGGGACTCCGGGGGGTCTGTGGGTGGGCCCACCACACGCAGAGATTAGCAGGGCAGAAGCAGGCACGGAAGCTGAATGAGCTCCAAACTGGAAAATTCACAACGGCGAGGCTACGGCCAGGCAGGAAAGGGCAGATCCTGCAGAGCACGTCCCCAGACCCAGAGACTCAGGGGAGGACAGGAAAGAGGGGCGCTGGGCACCCCTTCTCCCCAGGCAACTCTCATTAGCTTGAGAACCAAGACTTCAGAGTTCTCACTGGCTTCTAGTCCCAAGCGTCATCACTAACATCTCAAACTAGTCGTTAGGAGAAATAAATTGCCCCCGTTTTGCAGAGGAATATACTGAGGCCAAGGAGCTGGGGACTCGTAAGAGGCTCCCGACCCAGAAAGGCAAAGCCCAGGAAGAGGTGCGTGGTGACCTGAGCAGGGTGGGCAGGTGGAGGGCTCGTCCCATTGGAAGCCTCCATTACACATTTCCTTTTTAAAGTAGCATCTACATGCTAAAGAAAATGGCCAGTGAGATCTCAGCCCCTGCGCCTGGCACACCCAGGGTTTCCAAGCTTAGTCCCTAGCTTACGGTGACCACGGGCTCCACACGGCACCTCCCGTGTGCCCCGCTGGACGTGTGCCCCGCTGGACGCAGCGTACCCTGACGTTAAGGGCAGCGAACGGTTTTCCCCACTGGGTGCCCTTTTACAAAGAATTGAAGCCACGCCCCTTGTGCCAAGGGCCTGGCCTCCCCCAGCAGAGCCAGGGGAGTAGGCTGAGGAAGAACTGACAGCCCATGAAGGGGTCAGAGGAACAGCCCCCAGGTTCCGGAGGTGGCAGGTTCAGGTCTTTTCTGAAACTCCCACTGATTGCAGCTTATTTTTAAGCGCTGCTGCCGGTGAATGCAAGTCTCCGAAAAGCTGATGGCTTCTTTCCTTGGAGCTACTGTCGAGAAACGGCCGGAGAGCGGTGGTCGCTTTCACGCCCACCTGGCTGGCCGACCGCCCCGCCTCCTTCAGCCTCCACTGGGCATTTTCCACTCTTATCACGGAAAGGAGAGGACCTGGACTCCCCCGGCAAGCCGCCCCAAAGTCAAACATCGGGGCCACGTGTCCAGCCACAGAGCGGGCACTGTTTGCAAAGCACCTGGGGAACGCTTCCCCGTGGCAGGATAATGGACTGGGACCGCCTCAGCTTCCCCAGGACACCTCCAGGTGGCCAAGGAGGCACGGAAGTCAGATCGGGGGGGAACCCTGGGTCCACCGGGCCACCTCTGTCCTTTTATAGGTGAGGAGATGAGATTCGCCCCGTCACCCTCCCCCCACAAATCTTTGCCCACCCCTCTCTAACCGAATCGAACCCGTTCTAACATCAGTCCAGTTTTGATCACTACAGTTCAAAGCAGAGGTCGAAAATCCAAAGCTAAGCGCAGCCGGGTCCCTCGCCCTCCCCCCTGGAGAAGACTGGGGAGATGGGGGTGGCATTCTCACAAGGGCGCTGTTCAAGCCAGCACAGGGCAGAGGCTGTCCCCTGAACGGAAGGCTCGAGCGAGGCTGTGCAGGCTTGGCCCGGGGCCCAGGCCTCCAGCCCTGACAGCAGGAGCCTGCGATCCAGCGAAGGGAACAATGAACGAGAAGGGATGAGCCTGAGTGACAGCACCGGAGACCATAGGTGGACAGAAGGAACGTCACGACTGACTCAGGAGTAGGACAGCGGGGCACCCAGCCCAGAAATCACAGGGCGTTTCTGGCCCAAATGACCAAGACGTTTGTTTCCTGCAGTCACTGAACCATAGCCTGCTGGAACTCCTTGGCTCCCCGAGACTTCACACCCAAACTTGGCCCCTTAAAGTCCCGAGCCCCACACGCAAGTCTCACACACCCAAACTTGGCCCCTTAAAGTCCCGAGCCCCATTTATGAGACATAAGTCTCATTTATCCTCCAATCCCCTTCCCCAAATGCCCCACATGCCCTTCTATCTTTGCTCACAGCCCCTGATCTCACATTTTCTCTGCCTGCTAAAAAAGTCCCACCGATCCTTCAAGACCGCCAGAGGACAGGCTCAGGGCCAGAACCAGAGCAGGCACCGCCCCGGCAGCACACAGCACCCCTTTCTGTCCTAACCATCCACGTACTTCACGGAGTCCACGCTCAAGCTGGTATTTAGTCTGAACCCCAGCCAGCTCTGGAACCAGAGGAATCAGCTGGAAAGTGACAAACCGGGAACAAGTCAATCTCGGTTTTGTTCTAACAGAGAGACTGTTGTCTCAAGGAGGGCTGGCTCCAGCCTGCCAGACATCCCCAAGAAGCAGGGCAGCAAAAATCTGTGTCCTCTGCCCCGGGCCCACCTCCAGGCCAGGGAGGCTCGGAAGCTGAGCCAGCCTTCCAGGCCAAGCTTTCAACTTAGCTCTGAAAGGAGTCAGAGGCAGACACTGGACTCTGACTTGTCCAGCTCACTGCTTTTGAGTCTGCAGAATTGGGTTGTCCCAACAAAGGTCACGGCAGGCCATGAGCTCATTAAATCCCCAAAGTCCCCGTGTGAATGTGGACCAAGTGTCATGGTCCTGCCACAGCTTCTTCCCATGCATTCATGTGACCAACTCCCTGAGACATCCGGCTCTGGTGCCTCTGAGAGCGAGGGCACCTGTCCCTACCCCATCCCCATTCGGTGTGGGGACCATCTTGGGCGAGACCTTCAACTAGCTATCTTGAACTCTTCATCAGTTCTTACAAATCTTAGGGGTGTTTACTGTCTCGACGTTGCCCTCTTGACTCTACCTCCAGAAGTCCACCCAGATTAGAACTCTGGTGTCCTCCGAGAGCATCCCAACCCCACCGCGGCCACCCTGGTTATAAGGAGGCAGAAATCACTCCTGGGTGTCTGTCGCTTTACACACAGCTGCGAACGCAAGCCAAGACCCAGCCAGCTGGCCGCCAACACGAAGAAGCTACCACGGCCGCAAAGGCCCAGACGGCCGACTGCCCGGCTGCCCGCTGGGTTGGCGGGGTGACCGTGTCCTCAGACAGAACAAAATGCGGCCACCAGCCGGGGTTCCAGAAAGGTCCTATGGGAAGGATCCGTGCGGGACCCTCCTGGGTGCCCCCGCTTTTCTCAGGGGAATATGACCCAAACGCTCTCAGACGCAGAAAGAAAAAGCTTCGGGAACAAGTCTAGGCGACCTCCCTCCCGCCGCTCCGGTCCCGCACCCCGACCCCCGTCCGCCACTTCTCCATTTTGCCTTCTCCAAAGCACTTAGGCACTTCGCGAAAGTCTCCCGTTTACCTCTCCACTGCTGGCGGCCGTCCTCCCTCCTTCCCCGCGTGGACCTCGGTCCCACGCGGGCAGGCCGGCCACCTAACACGCAGCGCCTGGCACTAAGCGAGCCGCGCCCGGGGGCGCGAAGCCGGATGCCGGGCACCGGTGGGCGAGGGGTGGGCGGAGGGCGTCCTGTCGCTTATGTCCGGCCTGGCCGAA